ATATATATATATATATATAAAAAATATTATTTCATTTTATAAAATGAAAAGTAAATAAAAGTGGTGATACAAAATAAACAAAAACATTTACATTATAAAACAATATAAAAACTAAAAACAGGAACATGTCTGCATTGGTCCCTGCCAGGAGTCCAACAGATTCTTAAAGCCACTTAGAGAGGTCAAAGGTCGAGAGCTTCAGATCTTTTTCCAAGATATTCCAGGAAACAGGAGCGGAGTAGGAGAAGGTCCTTTTGTCTAGTTCAGTCCTCACTGAGGGAACACTGCAGGTAATGATGTCCTGAGAGCGCACGCTGTAGCTGCACTCACGCAGAGACATGTAGGAGGAGATGTATGAAGGCAGCAGACCAAGAAGTGATTTAAAGATGAAAATGTACCAGTGGGAGAGTCTGTGTGAAGTTAATGGTGACCAGTTAACCAGTGAATACTGGGTGCAGTGGTGGGTACGGTAGTTACAGTCAGTTATGAATCTTAGTGCACCATGATAGACAGCATCCAACATCTGCAGCATCCAACATCTGCAGGGTTCTTGTAGGAGCGTTCATGTAAATAATATCACCAAAATCAATGGAGGGAAGGAAAGTCACAGATACAAGGCGTTTTCTAGCATTCAGGGTTAGACAGGATCTGTTTCTGAAAAAGAAACCCAGTTTAACTTTCAGTTTCTTTATCAAGTTTTCCACATGGAGCTTAAAAGAGAGATGTGAGTCGACCAAGATACCCAAATATTTATAGGAATCAACAAACTCAATGGGGACACCATTTGAGGATAAAATCAGAGGAAGAACTGCTGGGACCGACTTCCTGTTTGAAAAAAGCATCCCTTTGGTTTTGTCGACATTTAGGACAAGTTTGAGGCGAAACAAATCAGTCTGGATGATGTTGAATGCAGATTTCAAAAGCTGGAAAGCCTTAGCAACAGTTTTATCTCGACAATAAACAAGTGTGTCATCAGCATAGAAATGTATGGATGCATCAGGGATGTTTTTACCAACATTATGTATGTAGATTGTAAAGAGGGTGGGTCCTAAGACTGAGCCTTGTGGTACACCATTGTTAACCGTTAAATAACTGGAGGAAGTACCATTATGTTGAACACATTGCCTCCGGTCTGAGAGACAGTTAGAGAACCAACCAATGGTGTGATCTGAGAAACCGATTTCTGAGAGTTTATGACACAAGATGTTCTGATCCACAGAGTCAGAATCTTTAGACAGGTCTAAGAAAAGTGCAGCACAATAATCCTTAGCATCCAGTGCTTCAACAACGTCATTAAGAACCTTCAGTGAAGCAGTGGTTGTGCTGTTTCCAGATTCATGGGTTGTCTCTGCAGTAAAGTTACTCAGTATTTGTCTCTCTGAGTACTTTCTGTGTTTTTCTTCTCAGACGGTAAAGACGAGTCTGCAGGAGAAACACCGACTGATCCTGATCAGCTCATGGAGACCGGAGAGGAAGGAGAGGAGGCGGTTGCCACGGAGACCATCAGTAAAGAGGAGGCAGCGGAGCGGCTGATGGTAGGAGGTGACACCTGGACCTCAGAGTCCGTCTCACCTGTCAGGTCTTGATTCAGACTCTGTGTCCAGGAAACAGAGAAGATCATCGCCGAGCTGAACGAGACGTGGGAGGAGAAGCTGAGGAAGACTGAATCCATCCGTCTGGAGAGGTGACAGCTTCTAGTCTTTCACCTCTTCCTCCTCCACCTCCTCCTCCACCTCCTCCTCCTTTGTGTGCAGCCGCTGCTCCTCAGATTTGATCATATTTTTATTTAATTCATGTTTAAATTCTGCTGTTGATTGATGACATCTAGAAAAATGTTTTATCTGCTGCAGCAAAGGCTGATGGGTAATGTAGTGTTTACAGCAACAGAGCCTCTCAGACACCTGAGAGTTTGATGTATGAGACACAATGGACAAAACCATGAGGCTGATGGAAGAACCATCTGTCTGTCCCTCTGTCTTTCCCTCTGTTTCTGTCTGTCCCTCTGTCTCTGTTTGTCCCTCTGTCTCTGTCTGTCCCACTGACAGAGAGTCCCTGCTGGCAGAGATGGGTGTGTCCATAAAGGAAGACGGAGGAACTCTGGGCGTCTTCTCCCCTAAAGGAGTGAGTTTATCGTCCTCTTTTCTTTTCACTGATGTCAAATATAATCATTAGTAAATGAAATATAAATAAATTGAACTGAATTATAATCATGATTGATCCGTTTGATCATTGAACATAAAATGTGATTCATCCAGTTAATGTGAATAAAAACAGACTTTTCTAAAACACAGAGACATTTTAATCCTCGTTAACCTCACTAGTCTAGTCCCACATAACCAGGTTTGAACTGGGACGCATCGTATAGTTCTGGTGTTCTCAAGTTCTTTAATGAGACGGATGGGTTAATTAGATTGATTTAATCTGAAAGATTAATTAGATTGATTTAATCTGAAAGATTAATTAGATTGATTTAATCTGAAAGGTTAATTAGACTGATTTAATC